TAACTTCAATCCAGACAGTACAAAGTCAATGTACGTAACTAAACTGTTTGTATCCCTGTAATAGTCTGAAATTTAATAAAAATAAGTAAATAAATAAATCCAGATGGGTTGCTAAAAGTACAAACTATGTAGGAATAAATAAAATATGTTACTGATTCCATTCCCCATGTATAAATACTGCTGACCATGTGTTAACTATCCCTGATTTTTTTCAGCAGCAAGTAATTTAGAGTAACTATATGGGGTGGATTATATTAATTTATTATTAGAGTGTGCATTTTAAAGTAAAAAGGTTAAGTTGATTGTGTGGCAGAGATGAGAAGACAAAGGGACAGACACCCATTAGGCCAAGAGACACTAAACCCCAGGGATGCCACTTCCCACCATAGCAACTCTAATTCTTCCGCAAGTTCCCCTTAAGTGGGAAGAAAACCCTCTCGATTTTGTTTGGAGAGTGGATGTGTGAATGCCTCTACACTGCATTTGTGGGGACAGATGGAGAACTGGTCTTATCCTGAGGCTCCCTCCCGTCTAGCTGGGGCGACAGCTTCTTCACTCCATTTAATCCATCAACATACTTCTATCTTCATTCTGCCTTCCAGTTTTTTTTCACGAGGCTTTTCCCTTTCATAAGTTTTTACTATAATTTTATGATGACCTTGGGAGGAAAGGAAAGATAAAAATACATTCTCAGAAAAGCATCTTAAATCAGAAACGCTCATGGCCTCTATTGTCCTCGGCTAGCTCTTTCCTGTGGGCTTCCTGAGGCCCCCAAGAATGGAATGGTGTTTGGCAAGGAGTACACAGTTGGAACCAAGGCCATGTACAGCTGCAGTGAAGGCTACCACCTCCAGGAAGGCGCCGAGGCCACTGCAGAGTGTCTGGACACAGGCCTGTGGAGCAACCACAATGTCCCTCCGAAGTGTGTCCGTGAGTCCTTGGGCACTGGAGGCTGGTGTAAGGAAGGGCGGGGTAGGAAGCTGTTGGAAGATTTCTGTTGGAAATGAGCTAAAGCACAGCAATGGAAAAACCGTGGATGTGGAGGCTGGGGGATTTGGGGAGAGGAGACAGGAGCTAAAATTGTTCTCACAGCAATGATAGATCATTGCGCCCTGAGATGCTTTCACAAACCATCCTGGAACTTAGGAATGGCCTGGTCCACTCCCTTGTAGATGAAGAAACTGTCAGAAGTTTGCATGACCATCCCTTGCTCACAAAACTCTAAAATAAATAACAACTTTTAGGCCAATGTCACAAACTGGCAGGCTACTAGGCCACATCCAGTCCAAAGAGAGAGGGTTTGGTTTGGTTTTATTTGGCCTACCCTGTGCTTTATAACAAATTTCAATTTGCTTTGCAATGTTCTAAAATCAGGAAATTGCATATAAAAAGTCCAGATTTCTTGCTTCCTTGGCAAAATGCAGATCTGACCAAACAGAACTGGCATTCTCACAGTCAGCTGTCAACACGGACGGAGCACCACCGCCCTTTTTGTTCATTATTTTCTGGGCAGATCTGCGCTTCCCAGTTGGCCACGTCCCCCTGCCGGAGATTCTCAGACTCATGAGTACCGCGTTAAGGCCTCCACGTCCCCAGACCAGGGCTCTGGCAGTGTCTCCTATAATTAATTAACTAACCCAGCTCGCTGCTCCTTGTTCCTCCAGCCGTGACCTGTCCTGATGTCAGCAGCATCGGCGTGGAGCATGGCCGATGGAGGCTCATCTTTGAGACACAGTACCAGTTCCAGGCCCAGCTGATGCTTGTCTGTGACCCTGGCTACTACTACACTGGCCAGAGGGTCATCCACTGTCAGGCCAATGGCAAATGGAGCCTCGGGGACTCTCTGCCCACCTGTCACAGTAAGCCCAGGAGGGGAGGGTGGGAAAGCATGGCAGGTACCTTTCACGTGAACCGTTTCATTCATGGGATGAACTAGGAGGGGAAAAGGGGGTATCACTAGGGGTTGCAGATACCTGTGTGTGGACACTCACCTAGAATCAGGAACTGAGAAAATGCCTCGTCCTTTAAGGAAGTGCTTCTTAGCATCCTGTCATTGTATTCAAAGCTACCTTTGTCTAGATGAGCTGCCACTAATTCCTCTATTTAATATTCATCAGGCCCTTGCTGTGTGCTCTATGTGCCAGATACTACAGTTAGGAGGGTAAAAGATTGTGGTTCCTGCCCACAAGGAGTCTTATCATCTACAGGAGAAGCAGACACATAAAGAATCAAAGATAATGTGGTGTGTTAAGACCTGAAGCTGAGGTGTGTATAGGAAGAAGGAGCATAGCACAGCGGACAGGCCACCTAAGTCTGACCTGAGTCTGTCTGCCTTTTTTTCACTACTGTTAATTATTTTTCGTTAATAGAGCTTCAAAGGTCAAGGTCTATAAGACGCAGCTCTGAGGCAAATGCTTATTAGGGAGTTCTCTTGAGATCACCACCTACAGAAAGCAAAGGAGGGGGACCAGGATGGGTAGAGGAAAAGCTGGGCTCTGATGCAGCAACAGTGAAAGCCTCTGTGGACCCCTGGGGAGCTCTGGAATGGGGTGGCCCTTGACTATTGTCACAAGCTGGGGGAAGACCAGTCATTGATGCAGGCTGGCCAGGGAGGGAGCATGGTCTCAGAGGGGAGGACTCTTCACCCAAGGCAACCGACAAGGGCTGACAGCTGAGGGTTGTTTGCCAGCAGCTGGGGTAATAAGTCCTTTGGTCCCAAAAGGGCTCTGAGTGCTCACCATGGCATCCGCTATGGTAGGGAAACACTCCTAATACTTGGGTAATGGGCCAGGGTTTTGTAGAGGAAGTAGGTGATTGGAAAGAAGTAGCTTGTCAGCGAGACATGGAGTTTGAGACTGGGTGGGAGATGGAGTGTTGTCTTCCAGCACCTGTCATCCAATACGCTGTGTCTTTCTACGCACCATGGTATAGACTCCACAGCAGGATGTGGCCAAGTGTGTGGCAGAGTAGAAGTCATGAGGGTAGGGACAGCCCCACTGCGATGCAGCCACTCACATTTCAGTGCAGCCGGAGTGGCTGGGCCTCACCACACTCCCTAGCCGTGTGTTCAGTGCCTGCTGAGCTCAGCAAAAAAAGGAAGCAACGTTGGTTTGCAGGGGTCCAAGGGGCACGTAGAATCGCCATCTCTTCCCACCCCAGGTGCACATCTGAACCGCCTGAAGAGTTTTAAAAATACACCTGCCTGGGCTCTGTCTCCAGAGATTACTAGTCGTGAGTCCACAGTGGAGTCTAGGCATCTTAAAAGCTCCTCAGGGGTGGACACAGTGGCTCATGCCTATAATCCCAGCTATTCTGAAGGCTCCTTGAGGCCAGAAGTTTGAAACCAGCCTGGGTTTCCAGAAACCTCCATTCTCATCAG